AGGTATATTGGTCCTTAACAAGGTTTGACTCTGGAAGAAAGAGAAAGGCAGCACCATTCAACCTGTGGGCTAAGCCAGAAACGGAGGAGTCATTCTTGACAATGCCTGTTCCTCAACCTTCAAGTTCAAATAACTAAGTTCCTTTCCATTTTTACTCTCCGGTAACTATAATTTGTCCTTGTTCCTTCGTCTCTGTTTTTCCCACCCTTGTCCAGACTTCTATCATCTCTTACTAGGGTTGCTATAGCAGCCAACTAACCTGTCTCTCAAAGTTCACTCCTCATCTACCCTCCACCCCAGAACTCTCTACTAAAAATAATAGCTAAAGTGACCCTTTCCAACGGTAAAGCTAATAATGCGGCCCCACCCCCACTTAAAACACTTCCTCAATTCCCATTGTTTTGAGTATTAACGTAAACATCAACAACTTGTCCTATAAAGGTTGATGTGACTTGGTTTCTATTTCTCTAGTTCTTCAGCTTGTATAAGTATATTCCTCTCATTCTGTGCTCCATAGTATTCAATCTATACAGGTTCTCATCAATGTCATACCATATAGAAAATACTCCATTATTTGTCAAAATGATTGAAGTAATAATTATTGATCCTAATAAGTATACTATGTATTATTAGTAAGAAAATATTATTGCTCAAATTTTAGTTAATAATTGTAAACTGAGTTGATAAATAGGAATAAGTCTTTGTGATTTTCTCAAAGATAAACTTACTAAATTACTACTAGATACCAGTACATAAAAGATGGATCTTTTGCTCTATATGATTCACAGAGCCTTTTGGGAAGCATTTTAACATTCATGATAAAATGCTTAGACGCTTTTCTGTTAGACTTTGATGAATTTCTTATGAGAAGATTACCTAACTGTCTGTCAATCTCAGGAGGTATCGAATGTCCTTTACCTGGTCTTTCAATGAATTTAATGACCTTTAATCAAGCATTGTTCTTATTTTTAATTCTAACAATGATTACCCTAACCATTTTTTCCCACACCCCTGTAAAAAATCCTACACAATAAGGAAATCTTTCCATCAGCTACTTTAGAAAGACTCTTCTCTTTTGGCAAGTTTGACATAAATACTTGAACAAGCTTATAACCAATTCATTCAATAAATGCTTTAACAGTACTAACCTGAAATCAGTAAAGAGCTAGCCTAGGGCCGAGCCCGTGGTGCACTCGGGGGAGTGCAGCGCTGGGAGTGCAGAAGCACTCCCGCCGCGGGTTCAGATCCTATATAGGGATGACCGGTGTGCTCACTGGCTGAGTACAGTGCTGCCAGTCTCAAAAAAAAAAGGACCAAAAAAAAAAAAAAAAAAAGAGCTAGTCTAAATACAAGAATGCTTCAGTGGTCAAAAATGCTCAGATCTACTGGTGGTACATGGAAAACTCTTTTGAAAAGGACTGTGAATTTAAAACTTTTTATTGCTTTCATTGAGAGACTGATTATTGGGTTAGTCAGTTAGATCAGTTGGTTAGAGCATAATCTTATAACCCCAAGGTCACAAGTTCAGATCTCCATAGTGGCTAGCTGCAGAAAAAAACTAAGAGAGACATTGATTATTGCTCAAATATGGTCTGATTTTAAATTTTCAGTATACTTCCAAGAATAGGGTTTTTGTTGTTGTTGTTGTTTCTTTTGGTATCTGGTCAGTACAGGGATGGAACCCTGGAACTTGGTCTTATCAGCACCAAGCTATAATCGAGTGAACTAACTAACCAATCCCCATAGGTGTTTGATTTATCTATAAGGATTACTGATTACTCTTTTCTCCATCCCTNGGGAGAGTGCGGCGCTGGGAGTGCAGAAGCACTCCCGCCGCGGGTTCGGATCCTATATAGGGATGACCGGTGTGCTCACTGGCTGAACACAGTGCGGCCGGTCTCAAAAAAAAAGGACCAAAAAAAAAGAGCTAGTCTAAATACAAGAATGCTTCAGTGGTCAAATATGCTCAGATCTACTGGTGGTACATGGAAAACTCTTTTGAAAAGGACTGTGAACTTAAAACTTTTTATTGCTTTCATTAAGAGACTGATTATTGGGTTAGTCAGTTAGATCAGTTGGTTAGAGCATAATCTTATAACCCCAAGGTCACAAGTTCAGATCTCCATATTGGTCAGCTGCAGAAAAAAAACAAAGAGAGACATTGATTATTGCTCAAATATGGTCTGATTTTAAATTTTCAGTATAATTCCAAGAATAGGGTTTTTGTTGTTGTTGTTGTTTTTTCTTTTGGTGTCTGGTCAATACAGGGATGGAACCCTGGAACTTGGTCTTATCAGCACCAAGCTATAATTGAGTGAACTAACTAATCAATCCCCATAGGTGTTTGATTTATCTATAAGGATTACTGATTACTCTTTTCTCCATCCCTCTCCAAATCCCACTACCAAGTTATAGAAGATAAAATTGAAGGGGGGGGGGAACTACATCGTTTGGTTTTGCAGTCACGGCAAACAGTAGGTGGTAAACAAAGATTCATTCAATAAAATAATAACTGACCCAGAAATCACAATATGCTGGAATTTGAGAAAATGTTACGATAATTCAATGCTAAATATTTAGAGTTCAACCACTACATTTACATGTACGTCTCATTTGAGCTGTGTTTTCTATTTTGAGAAAAGTCACTTTTTTTTTTT